GATTGATTTCAAAGAATATTTGTAAATACGTGTAGTTATGTTTTAAAACAACTGTTTGAGTATTTTTGTTATTTGACCGTACTTACGAAACGGTATTAGAGTAGGTTTTTAGATTTACAATCCTGTGAATTAATTAGTTTTGTATAAAGTTCTTAGATTGAAAGTGTAACATATTTTAACTACTCTATTTTTATTTTAATCTACTATGTTTTTTTGTTATTTATTGTAGATAATATTATAAATTGTATAATTATAACGTAGGTCGATGAAATGTTTAAATTTCTAAACAACTTGAAGGTAATGTTTCATAGATTTTTCTACTTATGTTGCTAACAACATAAGTATCTAATTAGGAATTTATTGTATAATTATAAGCAATATAACGAACTATGAGGGCACCGAACGTGGATGCAATATATTGGTTGGGCCTCTAAGCCAGAGCCATTCGGGGCCCGCAAAGCTTGGGACCAGTTAACAGTATAACCTGATTGACATTTCCAAATGAATATTCACTCTATTATTTTCCACATTTTTCATTTTCATTCCTATAAGTTAAGGTCTCAAAACTTTAGATATATTAAAGTATTTGTTGACGACATTTCGAAGTTACTATATCTACTTATTCCTAAATTCTAATTAATCCAGTGTTTTATTATATTATAATGATATAAGAATACCACTAATGTGTATCTATCAGTTATTCTAATCTATTCTGTATCTTTTAACATAAAGTGTGATACTTAGTCTTAAGTATTAAATAAAAATTTAAAGATTTTTCAAACGGACAAAAAAGATTTATTTATCATTTTGTACCTTATTCATTTATGTGTGCCAGTATTAGCAGAAACTATGAATAAAAATCTCCTGTTCGATTTCCACCATGGTGGCCAGTCTGTATAACTAGATTAGCTCACTACGCAGAAGATAATTATTAGGTGCACTCTCTGTTCCCTTACTCAATGAACCCCGATGGTACGGTAGACCGACACAACCGAAAGAGGTCAGGCGCAGGACCAACAGCTATACGTGCTTTCCGGGGCACAGGGGTGCAACACCGCCGAACTTCCCGACTTCGGGCTAATATAATTGTCATTTTGCTCAGAACATGCCCTTATCACTTGTTGGCCAGCGCGAGAATCCCGCGACACGTTGTACAGAAACCGGTCACTCAAACACTGTGCCAACCGTACAGTAGTAGAAACTAAATATGCTGTCACAAATGAGTGATACTTTTTCCAACCAATGATCTCTGAAATTGAACTAGGGACTTCGAGTTTCGCTTTTGCACGATCCATTATAAACATATTTTATACTATTATATAAAGCGGAATAGTTTATTTATTTGTTTGTTGGTTTGAACGCGCTAATCTCCGTAACTACAAGTCTGATTTGAATAATTATTTTTGTGTTATATAACGCATTTATCGAGGATGGCTATAGGCTATAAAACATCACGCTACGACTAATAGGAGCTGAGCAGAGCGTGTGAAACCGCGTGGAAGTAGCTAGTATGATATGTAATTGGAACTTTTCAAATAATCAGGACCTCACACAATAATTTTGTGACGTACTAGTGTGCATTAACGTAGATTTCTTTTTATCTTTATTAATTTAGTCTTTTGATCATATAAAGACCATGCCAGACCCATCATACCCTAAACAGATTTAACAAAACTTACATTAACTTACATTTTAACAAAACTTACATTAAATTACATTTTAACAAAACTTACATTTTATGTGTGGGAGAGCCATGCTTCGGCACGAATGGGCCGGCTCAACCGGAGTGATACCACGGCCTCACAGAAAACCGACGTGAAACAACGCTTGCGTTGTGTTTCGTCGTGTGAGTGAGGTTACCGGAGGCCCAATTACGGTAAAATGGGGTGAATGGGGATCAAGAGGTGAATAGGGACAGAAGAGGGGTGAATAGATACTATGAAGAATTTCCCAATATCTATTCACCCCTCTTCTGTCTCTATTCACCTCTCGATCCCTATCCACCCCATTTTACGGTACCCTCCCCTTCCCCAATCTCCTCAATTCCTGAATCCCCAACGATGCTTAAACTCCTAATCCCCAAGAGGTCGGTAATGCACTTGTAAAGCCTCTGGTGTTCCAGGTGTCCATGGGCGACGCCGATTGCTTACCATCAGGTGATCCGTATGCTCGGTTACCGGCTTATGCCATAAAAAAAACTTAAATAATGATCATTAGTAATTTTGGTGAAAAGTTTTCCGTTAAAATAGTAGTCGTTAGTCCCAGTTAGTATGAAAATGTGCGGCATTGGGTTCAAGTGGAACGTTTGACAAGTGCATTATGTACGCAAAGTTGCGGTGAACGGTCGACTACGTTCGTTCCTGTTTCTGGGAACCGTTCCAAAATGGATAGATCGACTGACTGAATCTTATATCTATATATAGATATAGG